TTGTGTTTTTATTTGGTGATACTGTTTTTCCATGTAACTAAATTTTGATATTTATTGTGGATAGAAAATAGTCATTATGGTACAGAATATCTTCTAACGATAATCCAACATCATACAAAGAATAAACATCAGGACTACAAAATGTAGGGCATATTTCCAGATCTCCTAACATTTGCCTAAATGTTCATAAAACTGGGTCCATAAAATGTAAACTTCCAGATCCACTGTAGGGAACTGAGTAGTGGAGAACAAGAAATTAGAGATGGCCATCTACATATGTTATTTGCAACTTAGACCTTTATTTCAAGCCTTTACCAGCTCCCCCAGTGCACGTACGACACAAAGAAGAGATAAGGAGTGATGATAGCTCCTGCCTGGTTTGCTTCTGTCATGTCAGGCCTCAGTGATTAAGTTTTTTTCTTTTTTTAAACAAAGAAGATGGAAACAGCTGTTTCGAAACATTTAAAAATTGCATCCACCCTTGACAAACAGAATAGGTTTCCAAGGCATTTTTTTATGCCAAGTAAAAAGATCTTTTGAAATCAGAAAAGGCAAATCAGTTTTACTCAATTTTTTTTTTAGTACTTCTGCATTTTTAGCTACTCACATTTTTCTTTAAAAATCAAGTCAAGGCAATTCATCGCTTGTGGAGTAAAACGAATAGCACTTTTCAAGAATATGAAGAAAGCAACCAGTGTGAATGCTTTTCAGCCCAGCATGACCTGTGCTCTCCAGCTCTGGCTGCAAAGAGAAGGTGCTGTGTTTCAGAGGAAAGCCTCCTTACATGAGTGCTACTCAACTCAAGGGGAAGTTATCACGGACAATAGGCCAGTGCTCTCACTGCCTTCCCTGCCATTTCTCTCTCCTGAACTGAAGTCTCTCCATCATGGCACTGCATCATACCACGAGATACATTTGAGATAGAGTGATGGATGTTGGCTATTCATCTCTGCTTTCAATCCATTATGTCCTTTGTATCCATTATGCAGGATGTATGTGTTGCATTTGTTTTATTACAAGGAAGCTCCATCAGCCTTCCTTCATCTCACCCAGCATTTTAGAACTAAGAGAAACGATCTCATCTACATAGTGCTTATGGTCGAAAGGAGAATGAAATGGTATTGGCCAAGTGTTAAGTCATCTCTTTGTTGTTCCAACAAAGTCAGATGAAAAAGCACTATGAAAATCTATTATTAATGACCAATCTGTATTGTAGTAATCAATGCAGAATATTGTCCAAGATGTGAGGAACTTGTGTTGACGATCACTCCCTTACAATTATTAGAGGTCTACATCTGAATGAGGATGAGGTGAGACACTGTTCAAAAGGAAGAAATTTTGTACCAGAAGATATTTGTTTGGGGCTAGTCCAGAATATGGTTTGTTTTTCTTGGAAAAGATCAGCAAAAATGCTAACTATTCTGTGAAAACTGATAAAGTGATGTACAGTTATGTCCACTCAGAATAATTATATAACTGAAATATAATTTTAAACAAATAATGGATCACCAAAACTTCTTTACAACCAACTCTGAGAAAAGACTGAAGGATATGGGGTTATAAGAGAGTTACATATAATTGTTAAGACTGGTGACTGAATTAACTAATAATAGTTTTGCTATAAATATTTTTTTTAAAAGCAGTAACATATGGACTTTTCCTGAACTAAAATATATTGTAAGCTCTAGGTTGTATTCATAAACTCTTCTGCCCAGAAGTACAATTAGGAAGCAACTAGGGGCAGGCAAATGAGGTGCAGTGTCACTGTATTTGCTGGTGGCATCTGGCAAGGAGGTTTAAGCCACACATTTTTCCCATCTGAAGTTTACAATCTAGTGAAGTAAATAAGACACATGCTAAAATGGAACAAAAAAGGACAGTGGCTGTATATGACTGTATCAGTTGGGGACTGCAAAGTATAAATGCTGTAGCATTTAGAGTTACAAAATTTTTGTTGTTGTTGTTGTTGTTTGCTTTGTTCTGTTTTTCAGTTAAAGGCTATCAAAGCTCTAGTCAC